GCTCAGGGGCCCGCGGCGGGCCTCGCGGGCCGGCGGCGATGTGGGACGGTTCCCGCCACGTGGCAGCGCGGGATTGGCGGTGGCGGATCGGGCGGACGTGTCCGGTGCGGCCCGGATGTTGTCCGGCCGCGCGGATGGAGCGGGGGTAGGGTTTGGAAGAGGGGATCCGCGAATTTTGAAGAGGGGGTCTTTATATAGGCATAGAGGGAGCTAGGAGAGTCCAAATGAGGTGCGGTTTTCGGCCACATGATCGTGATCGAACGCTCTAGATGATGGAGAGGGTTTTGGTGGGTTTTGGGCTAACTTGGAGGGGTGTTGGGCTGCAACACACAGGAGGCCTTTTCGGACCCTCGGTTAACCGTTGGAGCATCAAACGAAGCCCAAATGGTACGAAACTTGACAGGCGGTCTACCGGTAGTAAACCAAGGCCGCTTGGCAAGTCTCGGTCCAATCCGGACATGTTTAATCCCCATACACGAAAGAAAGATAGAAATGACCACCGGAGGAGAACGAAGCGCCGGAATGCAAAACGGACAACGGGGAAAATGCTCGAATGCATGAGATGAACACGTATGCAAATGCAATGCACATGATGACATAATATGAGATGCATGACAACGACAACAACACACGGAGACAAAAACCCGAACCCGAGAAAATAAAATAACTTAACGCCGAAAACGGCAAGAGTTGGAGTACATATTGGGTAAATCATATCCGAGGTGTTACATTGGCACCGTGCGCCGCGGCCATGGCGACGGAAGAGCGGGACCTGGTTCGCCGCGAGGTTGTGGCGGTCATCGTCGGGTTCCAATTGGAGCCGGAGCCGGAGCCGTCGGAGGTGGCGCGCGCCTTGGCCGCGCGCTTCGGGGTGGAAGAAGGGGCGGTCGAGGCGTCAGCGCTGGGACCTGGCGAGTTCCTGGTGGTCTTCTGGGACGCGTCCACCCGCAACGAGGCGATGGGGCTGCAAGGGCCACTCCTGCTCGGGCGCGCCTCCTTCATGCTCTCCCCGTGGACTCGGCTCCGGCGGGCGAGGGCGGAGAGGTTGTGCCACAGGGTGCGGGTCTGCTTGGAGTGGGTGCCGAGACGCGCGTGGCGGGCGGCGACGGTGGCCGGCCTCTTCGGCCCGTCCGCCATTGTTGAGCGCAGGGACGACTCGGCGGACTCGGCCAAGGACGCGGCGTGCATGAGAGTGTGGCTGTGTTTTGATTTTCGGTTTGAGCTTTTTTTCGCCCTAGGCCGAGATGGCCGAATTTCGGCCATTTTCAAAAATTTCGGCTGAAATTTGACCAAAATTTGATTGCAATTTGACTTAAATTTGACCAAAAATTGCCAAATTTAAGCAATTTCGGCCTAAATATACTTTTCACCCCAGGCCAAGATGGCCGAAATTCGGCCGAAGTCCAGTTTTTTCGGCCGAAAATCAAAACACAGGAGTGTGGGTGTGGATGGACGACTTCGAGAGCTTCCTCTCACGGGCCAGCTGAGCATCGAGGAGCCGAGGCCGAGGGAGGGGCGGCTGGCCATGCGCGCCTACGATGTGCTTCTTCACCTCGACTGTCTCATGGACTACACCGGCGGGCCGCCCGTCGCCGGAGGGTTAGGTAGGTCCGCCGAGGCGATGAAGGAGATGCTGGTCGCCGGGGAGCGAGCCCCTGCAAGTTTCTTTTGAGTCGTTTGGCTTGTACGACGTTTGTTCAGTTGTTTTGGGTAACAGTTTCAACTCAATCCTAAGTAAGCATTGTTCATGCCGTGTGTTCTTGCAATCACCGGCCGGCTCGCCGTCCGCCGGGGGAGGGAGATGCTTCTCTTGTTTTTTCTTGAAGGATAGCAGGAGAGCTGCTATGATTCATTAAGAGGAAGCGGTAAAGAAACCGATGCTCGGTTAATTAAGGAAAACCGATCTAAAACCTTTACAAAGAGCACAACAGGACATACACGAACGCCTAATGGCCGACACAACACGAACTGAGAGACAAAAGCAGCGTCATCGTACATCCCATCGGGCACACGGCCCGATGACTTCGACTTCGCTTCAATCTCGCCAGAGAGCACCGCTCAGTCGTCTTGGACAAGGCCGCCACGAGCATGTTAGACGACATCACCGTCACCGGAGAGAGACGACATGTCCGACGAAAGAGGAGCGAACATGTGCCTCTCCGATCACAAGAGGGCGCCCAATGTGACTCGCCTGGCGCTGCATGCAAGTCGTGTGTGGTCCAAGTGCCCACCACCATCGCCCCCGACGGACATGCCGCCGAGGGGTGCACCTGCTGCACTCCCGTCGACCGAACGACCGGCCCCAGACGAATGCACCACCAACGGCTCCAAGCTCACCAAACACTGCCCACTTCAGATCCACCGCACCACCACTAACCAAGTGCTTCCTGTATCAGACTTGACTCCAAGGCAATGCTTCCAACAAAGTAATGACACCAATGGCGCCACCATTGCACACGGTTTTCGCCGGGAGATAAGAACTTGAAGCGGGGAGAGGTGTCGGATCCCCTCGATGGCGCCTCCAACAAGAAAAAATCACACCCAAAGGCGTCATTCGCCACCAGCCCAGACCGAGGTCAAGCATGACTTTCGTCGGGGAGCCGAGCACCTATGCCGGAGACGGCGTCTCCAACACACCACCACCAAACCGGAGCAGCAGTTGCCACTTGCTACACCTCCCAGTAACTAGCCGAAGCACCGCCAGCGCGCAAGCCCAGAGCATCCTGAAGACCCTGCCGGACCAAGCCACCACGGACCACCAACCCATCAGGGAGGTGTGGAGGGAGTGCTCCGGGGAGTGGAGCTGGATAAAGCGTCCACTTGCTTGTCTTTGTAGATGCATTTGTATATTTGCAGGTTGGGACGTTTATTCACTTCTTTTCTAAGCGAAGATTGCAAAACCACAACTTGGGTAACAGTCTCAACTATAAGTACACATTGCAAAACCTGAAACTCACCTATAAGTAAACAGTGCAAAACCACAACTTGAAAGGTCACTGGGTTTGGTGGGGATATGCCAAACAAACATTATAGAAACTCACTTGTTACACAACAATCACAGAGGGAAAAGTAGTAGAAAAATGGAAGTTTGGGCTTTAGTTGGATAATAGTGACTTATAAATATAACCATATTATACCTCGGCAGGTGGCAGTGTTTTCTAATCTAAGTAAATAAAGATTGCAAGACCATAACGGTTATTTCCTTGGCTAAATTGATGACCAAACTTGAATCTCAAAATCCGTTGCGGCACCACATAATCTGAGACAGGTTAAGACGATAGAAATAGCCGTAGCAAATTCAACCACACAAAGGATGATCCAACTAATACATGGCAGAGTGGATGCCCGTCTTTCTTGCTACACATGAAATGATTCACTGAATGTTTCTTGGCTGGCTATGAAACAAAATAACAGTTTATGGTGCATTGACAGCTACAGTCTCATAGCTCAGTCGCGCTCGCTAATGGCTGTTAGGTGCTGATCAATCTCCTCTGTCGTGAGCGACCGGAAGACACGGTCTTCTTTCCTCACAACACCGACCTGCCGCTCACAAGGTATTGATATAAACACCACACATTGCAGAACAGAAATTTTAACTTGAAAAAAGGGGACTTGTGAATTTACCTCGATCTCGGTAGCCTTGAAATCTTCCTGCAGAACAGATTGCAATGCAGAAACTGCAATCTGAGAGCACATGATAAAATATTAGTGGAGAGTACCAAAAGGAAAGAGCACAAAATATCTCTTCAAGCTAAGAATGAATCAGCTTCAGTAATATAAGAACACCCTAGTTCAGAGCCTGTTGTTTGCCTGAGAGGAGAAGATGTGCATTTACCTGAACAGTTTCGTCATATGTGAACTGCGGGCTATCCTTCATTTTCTTCTCCAGAAAATTTATTGCTTCCTGCTCCTTCAGTCCGGCACTAGTTGCCTGAAAAACAAGAACTTGTTAGTGGTTTGCTACACATAAGACAAAGATTAAGCATTTGGCTGGGTATAGAATTGAGGAATAATATAGTGCAGTGCAAAAAATTACTGTATACCTTGTGTCCAAAGAAGTGACCTGCGGGGTCACACTTGAAGAGCTGAGCATTTTTCTCTTCATCATAACCCAAGACCATGGCAACTGAAGAACATACCAAAGAAAACGATTATGGTGGGCAATAGGCATTAAGCTAATTGGTCTAACACTACAACATCATAGTACTAACAGATGTAAATGTGATAGTACTAACCTACACCAAGGGGTCTCATGTACGCATGCTGCGTGTATATTTGTGCTTTGTCTGCTATCCTGAAATATTAATCAAACATGCAGTGTTATAGCTGCCACTTCGGTAACTCAAAAAGGAACTCGGATAAGGATAAGGTGTGATACCATTTTGCTAATACATCCACAGGCATCTCGTATCCCCATTTTTTACGGAACTCAGCTGCTTCATTTCTTGCTTGGGAGACCAAGGACCTCGCATCAGCTGGGAAACAAAAAAAAAAGGATATTCAACATCAATGAACAGCAGAAGGAATGAGTGTAAGTAAATACAGTAATCTGAAGGCCTAACCCTAATCATATCACACTAGCAAGGAAAGAAAGGGCCCATATCATATCACACTAACAAGGAAGAAAGAACCCTAATTACATCACACTCACAAGGAAAGAAAGGGTAGTGGGTGATATCTGATGCTACAACACTGCGACTTGACATGCCAAAATATTGGCTGTCAAACAAATACCAGATTTTTCAAGGGTAGAAATTAGAACAGAGTAGACATACCAATATAAGTATACACTATCCAGTATCTCGTCCAAAATATAAACAACTAGCAAAGCCCTCCACTGTTTCTCTGGTTATTATTAATAGCCCTTTGGGCAAGAGCAAGCAATATGACACTGGAAAATAACCTTAAGTCCCATTCTTTACACAAGAAATCAAGAAGATTTGGGATTATCTCTTAAGAGTAAAACATGTCCAGATCCTGCAAGAATGAAAACTGTTTCCAGCCTATCATGACACATGTAAAATGGTCCCACATTTGACCATCAGCTCTCACAAATACAGATTACTACAATCCAATACAGAATCCTACATAAGCTTAGTTTAATTTCACTAGAGCATCAGATTATCTGCGCTCATATCGTAGCTACAACCACAGTTGGGGGTGAGTCTATTTTGGCCAACTCGCAAATACTATTCGAGATCACCAAATCAGAAAGCCCAACAAGCAGAAAAGCAAACCTCACTCATCAATTCACAAAGAAAAACACATCCATCATCGTTATCTACAAGACTATAATTGAATTTACTTACAGTACATCGGTACTAAAAGAAAGCACAGTAAAACACAGACAGTCACAGTATGATGGTGGTCTACTTCCAAAGTGTCAAAAATGCTAGTACTAGAGATTATCAAATCACCAAAAGCTAACACACACAAAAGCAAGCATCCATCACCAACTCGCAAAGAACAAACCATTCATCGCCGTTATCTAAAACGAATTCAGTTTACTGTCACAATACATCAGTATCACACAGTGCATATATACTAAAACAAGGCACAGTGACCAAACCTGTGAGGCCGGTGGCAAGCAAGCCGGTGTACTTGGTAATCGAGAAGAGGTGCGTGATGCTGGTGTCATCCAGCAACTTGTCCTGCAACCAGAAGCACATCACAGGGGCAAAAAAAATTCAGCCTTTCATCAGGTATACATACAGGTAAACCTCTCAGGCATCGGCAGTAAACAAATCGGGCGCGGTCGAATTCGCAAGCTCCTCGGGCCAGCAACGGCGGCGCGAGAGCTGGGATCGGCCGGGGGGGCGGACGGCGACTCACCGGGACTTTCTTCTGGGTGACGACGCAGACGGAGTCCTTGCCGCGGACGCCGATCGAGGTGACCCCCGCCGACTTGACCGCCTTGAACGCGTACTCTGCGCACACCAGGCGGACGGATCAGACGCCGCACGAATCGAGGGCCAGGCGCCCCCGCAGATCTACTAGGGGGGAGGAAAGCTAGGGTTTGGGGAGGCACGCACCGACTTGGTAGAGGCGGCCCTCGGGGGAGAAGATGGTGATGTGGCGGTCGTAGCCCGCGCCCGATCCGCGGCTCATCTCGAAGGGTCGCCGGAGATCTCGCCGGAGCTGGAGCTGGGCCTGGGCTGTGTGTCGCCTGCTCTGGGTCTCTGTTGTGCGGGTGCGGGTGCGGGTGCGGGTGCGGGCTTGTGTGACCTCGGCTGGGGGACTTGACGGCGCCGATGCGTTTATTGGCGCTGCCTTCTGCCGCAAGAAGAAGGGAAAAGGGCCGGCCCGTTCGGGGACCTGTGGTCGAGTCGGACCCTAGCTCTGTCTCGCTCTCCACAGCGGGAGTGGAAGTGGAATTCAGAGCACCTCCAACACCAATCTCTTTTTATTTCTTGAAAAAGAAACATGATAGAGTAAAAAAATAAGGGCATAAAACGCTTTTTTTTTTCACGAGCAAGTGCCGTCTCCGAGAGCAGCCCTGTAATACAGCACAAGAATGTTTTTTTGGCATGAAATAGGGCAAAGTTGCTCCAACCGCTGCCCTAAAATAGGGCGGGAGTCGCGACGAGTATATCGAGGTCGGCAGCGGGGTAGGAGGAGCCGACCATGGCGCGAGGCCGCCCGGGCGGGTGGATCTGAGGGTTTCTGGCCACGGGCAGGTGTTCGGAAGCAGCCTCGCGTTTCTGGACAGCCGCCCGACTGCCCTATATTTGTTGCACGAGGAGCCTCTTTTTTGGGCAGCCCAAAAAAAATTGAATTTCTTTCATGATTGGGCAGTTGTTGGAGGCCGATTTTTGCCCTCCTGTGCCCTAAATACGCCATGTGGCCAAAAATAGAAATGTTGTTGGAGATGCTCTTAGCCTTCATTTTTCTACGAAGAGAGAAAAATGGCATATTTTTTTGGAAGATCCAGCATCCTATCCACATTCATTGATTTAGGAGAATAGCATGAAACAAGTGATGAAAGAAGCCATTAGACCGACTGCTAAATGGATAATCTGACAGCAAATCTCTGAATGGGCTCTTAATGCATTTGACGCGCGCAAGGCACCAACACTCTAGATTTGACCTGAAAGCCCTAATCACGTTCGTGATAGAGGGGACATTTCCTCTATAAATGTCGTTGTTTAACTCCAGTATTATGTCCCAGCAAATTAGGATGACCATGGATTTGATCCCTTGTCTTGCTACATAGATCGCTTTGCTTGGTGATGGTTCATACTATGTAGTGGTGTTGCTTGATGCAGCCTAGATGTCTTGACGCAACGCACTACATCCTTTCCAGAGAGTTGCCTAGTTCCAGATGGACACGGACATGTTGCATCTCTAAAACAAATGAACTAAAGATTCAAGATTTTCTCATGCAGAAGCGGCGGAAATATTCATTGATCCAGCTGCGTCGATGTCATTGCACCATAGGCGATCCTGGTGAAGCAGCCAAGAGAATATTTTTGTCTTCCCCGATGTCCAGGCTTTTTCCAGAGAATGGTCTTGTAGGTGCACTAATTTGTTTGCGGGAATCACATAGTGTAAGCAGATCGGGCAGAGTACTCGCCGAAGGCAGCCGCATTCCATATGATTGTGTCTCGCATGCCCGTCTACAAAGTGATCATGGCACTGTTGAGCACCCTCCAACGGTGAATGGACTCGTGAACTAGGGCAACAACATTCCCGTGAGAGAGGTCACTGACCCAAGAGTTGTCCAGTAGAGCTGCGCCACCGTCATTATTCTTCCTCCTAGCATGCTTGAACAGGGCAGGGTGGGATGTGCGGGGCATAACCCCACCAATGTAGCAGCAATGCTAGAACAGGGTCATGGTGCCATTGTCAATATTGACTGCGCGACGGAGGCGAAGAGAGCGTGATCAGCATCGTCGCACGGTGCCAGAGTCCCATCCTAGGACCGGTTTGGTTGCCGCCAGGCAAGCCAAAGCCACCGCGGGCGCAACGCACAGCTGAACTTAGCCAGATCATGTATGCCAAGACCTCCCTATAGCAGCGGCGAGCACACCTTTCGCTAGTTCTCCTTGCGGTGGCCTCCAGTAAGCTCCTTGTCCCCATCCCATAGGAACCGCCAACGCGCCTTGTCAACCTCCTTGAAAAAAATTCTTTGGAGCATGAAGAATTATGATGGTGAACATGGGCATGGCTGTGAGGACGCATCTGATGAGAACTCGACGGCCAGCAGCCATGAGGAGACGACCCTTCCAGCTGACGAGAATCCTTAAGGAGGGTTATTCCTACACGCAAAAGAGCTAGCATGACCTCTGTGACTTTGCTAGAGCAACCTGGTTCACTGATTTATTGAAACAGATATTCTCGCTCGAACTCACAGCTCCTTAGTAGAGATTATTCAGGCTCTTCTTAATTCGTGTCATCCGCATGCTTGTATAGAAAATGTCTTCCCTTTCATGTGGTGCTTATGGGAATCTAGTAACAATAATCGCTTTGGCAGGAAAGTTGGTGCTCCTTTGCAGGTTTCCCGTACAATGTGGGCAATAACTTCCATCCAAAACCTAACAACTTGTGCAGATTTAGACCGTCACAAAGTTGTAGGGCACCAGGCAACACAACCATCAACAAGTCTTGTGCAGGGGGGCACTATCAAGTCCGACTTGCTTATTATAGGTCTAAAAGCCTTCTCAGATAGAGCCAAAAATGACTGCCATTGTGGAGGAACTGAGACACGGACACGAGTGTTTCTGCAACTTTCTGAAGGAAACAACAACTGCAAAATTATGGTACTTACCTCTACTCCAACTACAACTTCGCCTCTACATGCTGAAGCATTATATTAGGCCTTTTGCTAGCAGCAAAAATCTCCCGGCATCTCCAAGCCCAGCAGGTTACATGCCCCACTGACAACTTGACTTTAGCCAAGGCGGCAACACAAAGAAATATCTCTTCGAACAAGATCAACTGGAAAGTTAGGAAGCCTTTAGCAGATTATCTTCTTGTATCTGATGGTCTTTAAGCTAATGTGTACCATATCTCTAGGGACCTCAACAATGTATCTCATAATTGTGCACATCAAGTTCTCAACTGATCCTCAGTTGAACCTATTATCTGTTGTGTAAACTCAGCTCATACAAACAAATGTTATCTGTAGTTTTTTCTTTTGACAAAAAGATGTTACCCTGTAGTATACCAAACATTGATAAGCAAAACAAGGATTCAAGTACCTTAGAGGCTTTGTAGTCCTGGTTGTGCTTATCCCTAGCTCATTTCATTTACTAGGGCTTTGTAAACTGTTGTTGAACACATGACGCCTTTGGCGCCCTTCAACGTTCAAAGACACACACAAATAAATCATCTATTCGTATGTTAATTAGACGAGTGCTGAACTCTTTTTAGCCTTTACATGAATGCTGATTTTCTGTTAGACATTTAGTTTTCACTTATTATTATTTTTAGGGATAAGTATATTTTTCGTTCTCGAACTTTTTCGAGAGTTTAGAAATCGTCCCTCAACTCAAAACCGGATAGTTTTCGTCCCTCGTGCCGCTTCGGGCGGTTTTAGTACGCGGTGAATAGTAACTCGGTAAACAGTAAAATCAAAAAAATATCAAAAAAATCTGAAATTTTACAGCATTGAAGATACTCTGGTGCGCAAGACCCGTGCAAAATTTCGTGGTGTTTCAACAATCGAGCAGCTCGTGACAAACAAAAAACTGTAAATATGTACGTCGGTGAACAGTAAATTCAAAAATAGCAAAAACATAAAAAAATTATGAAACTTTTTGGCATCAAAGATGCTCAGGTACGTAAGATGCGTGCAAAATTTCGTGATCAAATGACATACGAGGAGCTCTAGCCAAAAAAAAGCACTTTTTCATAAAAATAAATATGAGACAAATTTTGTTTTTTTTCACGAGTTCGTGCGATGCCCAAACACCACAAAAATTTGCACACACGTTGAACACCCAAGTCTCTTTGATGCCAAAAAAGTTCATACTGTTTTGATTTTGTTTGCTATTTTTTTGAGTTTACTGTTCACCGACGTGTATATTTACAGTTTTTTGTTTACCGCGAGCTGCTCGAATGTCAAAAATATACTTATCCTTTATTTTTACTTCAAAAAATGCTACTTATAGCTGACATAACCATAGCTTGAACCTCGTCGCAGACCTGCAAAAAACGCAGTAAAAACATTGCTCAGCTAAGAAAAGCATACCGGAGGGAGTGTAGCCACAAAATCAGTGCATGAAAAGCTGTGGCTAAATTCAGGACACGAGTTGTTCCTCGAGGACTCCGGCAATCCAAACTATTTCTCGACTCCCGGCACACCTTCCTCCAGATATTTCCGTTTACAAGTTGGAGGTACAAACCTGTACGGCTGTACTACATCCACTCATCCAGCCCTGCATCCCAGCTCGCTGGACGTAGCACTGGCCATGCGCTTCACCTCGGGCCTCTCATATGCAGGCATGCGGCCACGTGGAAGATACGTGGATCATCAACCTAAGAGCATGGTTTATAATATAGTTATCTACTGGTTATATCATGTTACCATTTACAACCAATGTAATAGTCAACACGTATAATACTATTCCCTTCATTGCGCAATGTAGTATATATAGAAAGTCAAACTTTGCCAACTTCGATCAAGTTTATAAAGAAAACGGTCTACATCTGCACTATAAAATATGTAAATTATGAAAATATAACTCATGATGTATTTAATGATGTGCATTTGATATTGTTTGACTTTTAGAAAAATTCATAGGCACTACATTATGGAACTGATGAAGTACTAGTTAACTACAAGAAAGTACCATTTGATTAAAGATATGACCCACCTTACCCATATCTTGGAGTCTGTGCTGCAGACGGCTGTAAATCTACAACCCGCTTCTCTTCTTTTTCCTCTTCCCTCTCTTTCAACTTAGAAACAATACAATATCTAAAGGACGCGACTAACCACCAGTCGACTGGTGGTTAGCGACAAATCCGCACGATCGAAAACCTGCGTCCCTCCCCGCGCGTGACCCACTTCGGCAGCGCCACCCACGACCCAGCCTTCTCTCGCGAGGCCCACCGCGCGCAACGCATTGAGGCCCAAGACTGTTAACACAGCCCCTTTGGCCCAC